GTCTACGGTAATGTTCAAACACAAACAGCACAAAGCGCCTCACTGATCCTCGCTTCGCGTACTACACAAAGGGTGCGTTTGTCATCGGGCAAAATAATTTTGTATACTTGAACTCTCATAAATCAGACTGAGTAACACTGTTGATCTTTAGTTACACTATTGCACTGATGAAGTCTGTCCTCAGACATCCAGACGGGAATGTGTAAACACGGAGTTCTCCACAGAGCACTTCTGTGGGTCAGTGGGTGTCACAGGACTTTTTTTTTAAAACTTTTTTGCCATGGTGACACGCATACTACGTATAATTAAGATTAGTGTACAGGGGGAATTCCTCCTCCTCCCAGCACACAGACCTCATATCTGCAACTGTTTATCTCTTGGCTTGGCTTTCAACCAGCACAAACCAAATGTTTGTGCTGCTTTCGTCAGCCGGCAGTTTGGGTTTTTCTAAACCTTTTTAGGTTTTACTCTTAAAAAAATCCCACAGAGCTCCATTAAAGAGAGAAAATTAGAGATTCCAAAAGTTAAATTTTACAAAGTGTGAAATTTACACAGGCGGTGTTACAGGGAGGACCTACGTTCGCTCCACCTTCACTGTTATCAGATTGTCGTCTGATAAAAGTTTTGGCTGAAGTTTCCCTTTTCCTTCACTTCAGCACGTTCTGGTTGCAGTGAATTCTCCCCAGTTTTGCCAGTGAGCAGTGTTTTCCCACTCACGCCTTAAAGACGTTCAGACAGGTTTACCATGTGACTTGTTTTTGTTGGCTTTGTTTTTATGCTTTTTTTTCTTTGTCTTAACTTCAGCATTTTTTCTGTTGCTAGAAGCATCTTACATTGACAGATATAACCTCTTTAACTAGTCACCAGTGTTATGGTGACCCTCAATAAGATACTTTAATAATATAAGAAATTTACATATATATTAATGAATTGCTTTTATAATATTTAAACCCTCTTATCTTGAGACTTGAGACTATTTAAAAATATATTTTTTGGTCTACTTGTAATGGTAAACACAAACCAGAAAGATTATTTTTCAGGTCATTAAAAGTAGAATTACATGTGTTACAGGTGGACAGACTCTGTGCCCTGTAAGCTTCAACCTTTTGCATTGCACTATCTGACAGGCGGCACCTCCGGGGCAAGGAAGGTTGCAACAGCAGACTGACAGCGAGCGCTGGCATGAGCACACTGGAATAAGTTCTGCACTGATGTCTTGGCTTAGAGGCACCAGGGCATCCACGAAGCTGCACAAAATCCCGGCACGATGCGGGCGGTTGCTGTGTTTGTAAGTGCTTTTGTATATGGATTGGTGGTGGGCTGTGCAAACTGGTGATGGGCTAAATCAGTACAAACTTTCTTTCTGTGATTTCTCTGTAAAATGTAAAATAAAATATCCCTAAAAGCAGAGATGTGATCTCTTAGATGAAGGTAGTTGTTAGTCTCTTAGTGAATTAACCTCTCTTCATAGCTCGGATCCAGTGATGTTGCTAGAATCGTACAGTATGGTTGTGCTCGCTTTGTTTGTCAAAATGAAACCTCAGATTAGTGGGAAGGAGTGCCTGTTGATGTCAGCTCTGCGTTATACGTCTTGTCCTGTTGCAGCACCTTCTTCTCAGACAATGAAAGCCACAGCAGCAGGATTGCTGTTATTTTGAAATCCTCACACTGAAAAGCTCAGATAATGGTGCAAAACCATTTTTCTTGTTTTCACTGCCTGAAGCTCTGGCTTCAGTGCTCTAAACACTTCAGACAGCTTGTGTTTTCCTCTAATGTTTGGGCTTGGTCTGCACACCCCACCCGCCGACCTGCCCTTTATATCTTTTGTCTGCAAAGAGCAGCCGGGCTTGCAAAGCGGCCTAAGAGGAAGGTAAAAAGGCTTGTCAGAAAAGTAAGAGGAGTAACAGCACGACGTTTATATAGTCTTCATTTCAATTTCTTTTATTTGCAAGTTGAAGCTATGCAAAGGTTGTCATTGTAGGCAAAACTGAAGACTAGACTCGTGTCGGGACACAAGGTCAACAAGTGCCGGTGCAGGAAAGATTCAAGAGATGCCTTCTTGGCTCTAAAGTCTTTAGTCGTTATTGGGATGCTAATTGAATCAGCTCCAAGAGGCCAGAGTGTCTAGGCAAAAAAAACACACACAAAAAAAAAACCTGAGACACACCATATCCACACACACTGTTAACTTTAATGTTTGCTTCTAGCCTGCACCACAATCCTCTTGAGTCTTGACTCGGCTGATGCCACCCAGGACGATTAGTGTGCGTTAAGCCGACTCTTTATCTGGTCATCTGCGAATCTTCAAGTGGAATCTGTGCTCATGTGAAACCAAAGTGCTCAAAAAAGGAGGAAAGAAATCATGTTTACTTCCCTCTCTGTAACTGCTTCTTTCAATGTGTGTGTGTTTGGTGGGGAGGCTTTCAGTCCTCACTTCCTCCTTTCTTGTATTTTGTTTCATGTCAAGTTGTGTGGGAAACGGAGACGAGCGGAACGGGGAGAGGGAGTGAATGTGAAGGGGAATTAGAGATGATAAATAAAGTCGGGAATTGAAAGGGTTTGGAGGGAGGATGTGGAGCGGCGGCGCTTCAGTAATAAACCAAGCAGCACCAGCTTCGACCTCATCCTTTGCCTGCTTTACCTTTGACCTCTTCCCCCTTTCTCCACCCGTAGGCCCAATTCACTGAGATCTTTTGTGCTGTCATCTAAAATGGGAATATACAGTATTCAGTAGTTGCGTATTTCTCCGAGTTTCTGCAGTGTCGGGGCTCGTTAACTAACGGCGCGATGTGCCGGAGGATGCTTTCTCACAGCATTCCCCCAAAACGGCACCGACGTCTTGTTTGAGGATCGCTTTTATCTTCTTGTTGTTGGGCTGGAAGTTGCTCGTTACAGTCTCATGTGACCTTTTAGTTAGCAGCGTATTTCATTAACCTGGTGTCGCTGCGATTAAGTTTGAGGAGAATTGTGTTCATTAGCATGCAAATTGATAAGGTGCGGCACTTGTTATCTGTTATTTACTATTAAATTATGAATTTTTTTAACTTTTGCGGCTCTGCATTCAGTTACTTGAATTAAATAATCCTTTTTTGTGTTCTCTCATGTACATTTAAACTGGTATGTGGCAGATGGAAAGGCTGTTTGCCTGTAAATGTGCTCTGTTTGTACCTGGTATTAACCCGCGATCCGTACCTAGATGTTTATCTGCACTCTAATATCCAATTCGTCAGTGTAAACGCTAACATGCCAAACGAAGATTTTGACCTTCTCAGTATTTTTGTGGATGGGGCTGAATGGAGATCTCTGTAGTGTCATGTTTTTCCCTTCATATGAGCCTCGGTTACAAGATATACTCGTATGTGCAAGCTGGAGATCAGATTGTTTCATGCGACCGCGACGGGGAGAGAACTTGTTGCTATAATTGTGTGCGTCTTGTTGTGAAACAGTGGTGCAGACTGCAGTTGAGCTCTATTGTTGTTTGAGCCCTTTGCAAACCTCACAACGACGAGCTCTTTGTTTGTGTCGCTTGCTTTATTTCATATTTAATGATTATTCCAGTCATTTATAATCTCACCCACTTAAGATCAAAGTGGGCTGTGTGTGGCCTGCGGTGTCACACCCAGAGGTTTAAGAAACCTTCTAGGATTGCAGAAGCTCTGTTTGTGCCGTAGACAGCGACAACATAAACCTGCTCTGCAACTGGTTAGAGCTGCAGCATG